TCATACTTGTGGTCGCACCGTTTCCTGGAATCAATACTTGATCGTGTCTACACTGATCGACCGTCCTCCTTGTTGGATGACAGAATAGAAATGGACAGAATAGATCTATAAGATTGTATAAAAACAAAGCACTCCAAAGATCCTCAAACATCAAAACTCCCAATCAACGTCCTGTGTTTTTCTGTGTTTCCATTTGCCATGACAAAAAACGTCTACAATGTTTGAGCCGTGTAGGGGAGAAAGATCATGCAGATGGCGGGCAGTCGAATTCGTGGGTGGAAGCAGCCCTCTTCGACTCTTTCTCGGGGGATTTTCAGCTGAACGATCTCACGGCCATCCAGCCTATGAACCCTTTAACATCTGTTTTTTAAAGCTTAATATTGCTTAATGCAGCTGCATTGCAATCCTAACTTTTATTGACTTCCTTCTTTGGAACGTGTGCAAATTTGGGGAATGTGTCAAACCACCGACACCACCAGTTGCTTGGTATGGCCCGCGTTCAGCGCAGTTGAGCACGTTGGGGCGCAGATTATCCTGCAACGTGAGGGGCGCAAAAAGCGATCGCGGCGTTCAGCTCCGATCGATCTGTGGGAAAAAGGGGTAGCCGCGTAGCCAGGCTTCTGTCATAATCCACATAAACACCCAACAAACAATCACAGAAAGCAAAAAAAACACACATAAAAACAAGAACATCCATAAACAGTCACCCACATCTACCAACAGTCGGGCGAGTACATGTTCAATCATTTTCGCACAGGGTCCATCTTTGAGGTGCCGGGTGCCCTGAACGAACATTGCAGGGATTGGGTTTTGATGGGGACAGGGTATACTGTAGTTTGACATCCCGGGTACTTAGTACTTGTAGTCTCTTCATTTGGGCAACCCAGGCACCTCGGTTTTGGCCTGCAGCCACATATTGATTTGGCCAACCAGGACTTCCAGGCAGTTTCGTTTCCATGGCGCTACATGGCCCAGAGACTGGTCCCTTCACTCCGAGACATCAACATCCTTTTTTCAAAACGACAGTTCATTTTGGCTCATGAGCCATGACTTGTTATGCATATGGCATATGTCATCATAATTCATCATATGTTATTCCCGAATATCAATTGAATACACTACCTGCACCAAATGGATGTTTTCTGTGCCCAGGCGAGCGAACAGGACCTCGGACGCAGGCGCGGCGAACCACGTGGTCACCGTGGTCCCTTCTTCGCGTGGTCCAAACGACCTCAACCTCGAGGCCTCCCAAATGCCTACAGGGCGGCCAGGGCGGCCAGGGCAGATGATGTGTCAAACCATGCAGTGTTGAAGGGTGTGAAGTGGAGAAGGTGTTCTTTTCATTGCTTACCCCCAGGTATCCATGGCGGATGGTGGGGAGTCTCCTCGTGTTGTGGTGTGGTGAAAAAGCTGTCGGATTGGGGATTGAATCTGTGCATGTAGAGAAGAGAAATCTTTACAGGTTCTGATGTAAAAGGAAGAACAGACTACGTATACCAAAAGAACCTACCGCATGAAAAACAGGATAAACACCTACATTGGTTGCAGGGTCTCTTTTTTTGGTACACACTCCAATTGCTTGGGTCGGAACACGTGACACGCCGCTGGGCGTGCTCAGTTTGCGCCTTCTGAGCGCCTTCCTGCAGGTTTATCGCCGACTTGGAGCTTCCAGTGCGTGGGAAGAAGGCAGGTGAACGTCATCCAGGTGGATTTTTGGGGTAAATCTGTAGGGAGCCCAGACCGCCTGGAGGCTGGAAACAAATGTAATGCTTCCCTTTTAAGAGGGAGCTGTATACACGGAGTGCCGTAGGGAGGAATATTCCCACCCGAAAACACCCATCGCTTGAAAACGTCATGCCAGTCATGTGGTGGTTTGCACAGAACAGCTCATGTGCTTTGTGGAGAAGATGATTGCCAGTGTCATCCAGGTTCTCAAGGTATTTGGGAGTTATCCAAAAGGTCCTTGTAAGGGTTTTTAATGTCAAGAGCCTTGGATGACATGATCGTGGGTCTCGCGAAAGTTTTTTTTCGAGTTCGCGAATGTTAATGTTTTTTTCGCGAAAGATTCGCGAAAGTATGATTTTTTTTTGTATGTTCTTTGGCGAGCCTTCAGGCTTGCCCCATGCATAACCACATCCTTTTCTGACCGTCAGCAGCTTCAACTTTGGAATCCGTGTGAAGCTTCCTTCCTGTTTCATGTAGTCCACCCTATGTTATGTATGCCGTAAAAACCTCCAAAGCACAGGGATTATTTCGCGAAAGTTTCGCGAAAGTCTGGCGAAGGTTTCGGCGAATGAATCGGCTCCAGAGGAACCCCGTAGCCCATAGCAACCCCACAAACTGTATTTAGAAATCGAGTCCCTACCAGGTTAAATGGTTTCATGACATGGTGAACCCCCGCGAAAGAAAAACACAGGGTTCGCGAAAGTTTCGCGAATGTTAATGTTTTTTTCGCGAAGAATGGCCGTTTCAATAAACAAGAATATTGGACAACCACCAGATATTGATATTATATATGTTATTGTGTATAGATTGCGCAATACCAAAAAGGTGGTGGTCTATACATGTTTATATATGATATGGACCCCCACCTAAAAGTCATCTTGGGGGTTGTGCCATTTGCTCTGAAACCATTGTAATCCTCAATGTTTCTGATTGTTTCTTTGCCTTTCACCTTTGGAAGTCCAGAGTGCCTCGTCACTTCAGTAGACCTCCACTGGTCCATGTCTCGACCTCCCCAGGGCACACGACGCCTGGGCCCGGTGCTCTCCCGCCCGGAACGCCGAAGAAGCGGCGGGTGGAGCCGTCCGCGGGCCGGGGAGTTCGTGACCTCTTTGGAGTCTGTAAGTGACCAAAAGGTCTGGGATCTCAAGTTCGGTCACGAACTGAAGGTCCTGGGACATGGTCCGGTGTTGACCAGCGAAACATGGTCCGGTGTTTGGATCTATGACGGTGTATGGGACCCTCCCCTATGATTGGTGAAACTGGCGGGGCTGCCCACACGTCACATGGCCATGTTGTTTTTTTGGGATGTTTAATATGAAGCCTGGTTGGCCGTTAACCTGTTTCACCTTGCATGGAGGATGGGTGTCCCTTCCAAGCATTGGATGTGGATAGAAAGGCCTGCATTTGTTTGAGAGGACTGGCTTTGCTGTAGACTTCATTCATGTGGGATGCAGATGTCATTTGTTCAGCTAAGCCGGAGGCAAGAATTGAACACAAGATCGGGCATAAAGACCCGTCACTGAATGAATCTCAAGCAGGACATTTATGTGCCTAGCTCTCAGCATTCAACTGTCAGAGAAAGCTTTTGGGTGAAAGCCAATCCAACTTACACCTGAATTTGCATGTCTCCACCGTTGCAGTATTCTATTTTTTGCTGAAGAATACCAAGAACTGAGAGTGTTTTTCCAGTGACTCCTCATTCTTGAATGTTTTTCATATCCAAACCACCAGGTAAAGGCCCCTGGATGGCCACCAGGGCGAAGCTGGTGCCAAGTTGGCGGTGCCCAGGTCGGCTCTTCAGTCTCTTTCACCCCTATGCCACCTCTGATCAGTTCATCGCCTGACGTGTCAGTTCACGCCGTTTCTCCGCCGGCGTCAGTGGTCGAGTTGAAGGGAGTCTTTTCTGCGGCCGGTTCTGTCAGATGAGGTCCTCCTATAGATGGACATAGATAGACATGTCTTTGAAGCTTAGGTTGTTTCAAATGTTTCAAGCTGTTTGTTATTGTTTGTTTGTTGTTCTTATTATCCATGTGTTTTTTGTGCAACATCTCTCATTTGCTTTCAGAATCGCAAACTCGACAGCCTTCGATTCGCTGAATTCAGTGCCATGACCTTTGTCAACGAGCGAACGCCACGACCGACGAGTGGTCAGTGCCGCAGACGTGTTCTGCGCGACCAGAAGCAGATTGCGATCACCACTGCAGAAAAAGAGAAAAGCGGATGCACTCTTCATGTGACACAACATAATTCAACATGTTTGATGACACGGCTAGGATATGTTGTTCACTGAAAAACTTGTTTGACAATGGTATGTACATGACCCAGTGTGACTGGACACTCTTTGTCCAAACACTCTGACTTCTCTTAAACAGCGTGCCATGCACATTCACCCATGACAACCCCTTAACCTGCCAAGTCGCATGTCATATGGCTTCTGGACTTGGTAATTTCGATGTGCCCACAGTACAAACACCCTTGTTGTGTGTGAACACAGGGCAACGAACGAACTCGTGCGGGCAAAGAACTCCAAGGTCTGTGTGTTGCGGACGACGTGGAGTTCATAGACGTGCAGGAGGTACTTCTCTATTTCCCTGACAGTGCAAGCTGGAGTGGATGTTCCGCGGAAACCATAGGACATGGGTGCCCGGGAAACTCCAGTCTCCACATGATTTCACTGCACACTTGGAAGAAATCCGGTACCCAACGGGAGAGTGAACACCAATGCTGTTAAACAATGTTAAACAGTGAGTCCAGTGTTCGAACCGATAGGTCATAGGCTGAAATCGCAGCCACGCGTGCTCAAAGTCGCCCGGCGTGAGCATGAGCCATGACCAGGGTAGCAGATGTATTTGTCAACTCAAGGGACCAGTGCATCAGCCAATGATCTTGGACAGCAAAGCCATTCTGAGAGTAAACCCTTCGCGAAAACCACAGCTCAGTGGCGAAAACATCGGGGTGGATGATCCGCTCAGCTTGAGACCGTTGATGTGAAAAGTCATTGACTGTAAAGAAAAATCGTCACTTCAAGTAATCCAACTCAGTGTTATTTTTTGAAATTTTTGTCCGACCGCCGACCACTCCAAACAGTTTGAAACTGTCCAGCTTGTACAGTATGTTCGCACAGGATCCCCTGCAGACAATGCAGAGTGGTTTGTCCATTGAAAAGCGGTTGGGAACCCTTTTGCCGACGGATGGTGGAGACGAAGACAGACATGTCCTCCACGGACCTCGTGGCCTCCAAGCTTTTCCTATGTAATTCATGGGGGTCCCATTGGCATGTGTTCTGTCCCTACAGTGTATGTTTTCCTCGTTTTGATGTAGTTCTTCGCTTCTTTCGTCGCCGATGCCCTAAGTCGCATGCGGTACGCGCCTTGGAGAGGCGGGTGGGGTGGTTCTTCCGTGCGGGACTCGGGGGGCCGGACTCGGGGGCTTTTCTAGAATCGGATCAGGTGCTTTTGGATGTCACAGACGAAAACCGGATGCAAAACCATTGGTGTGTTCAGCTCATTTGGCAAAAACCTGGGCTGTTCAAGACGCTCCTGAGATGTTTTACCCACGTCTCAGGGTGTTCAACTCTACTCTTTCGCAGATTCAAGACGTTCCTGAGACGTTCTCCAAGACGTTTCTCCACATGTGTGTCTCTAATTCCACTCAGGGACAATTTGTGGGGATGCATTTGTTTGTCTATTCAATTTATAATCCAAAACATGATTTTAAACATACTAAAATCATTCAACAACAATATACTGTAAAAATACTAAAAATGAAAGCAACATATAAAGTTTAAAGCACTATAGTTTTTTTCAATGAGTGACGTGTTTGTTCTGTGTTTGTTTGTCTAGAGGGGGGGGGGGCCATTGTTTACGTTGCTACATTGATGTGATTTTGTTGTGAGTTTAGAGTCTCTTTGGCCATCTAGGCAGCAGATGGTGCCTATCTAATAAAGCGGGAGAGTAATCGAACTGTTGGAACTGTATGTTGACGACAACAACAACAACCAGACAACCTTTAAGCATCAGCAGACCGAAGAGCATTGCAAGGTAGTTCCGACCTGCATGTTGTTATATGTTTCCAACAGAAACACAAAATAGACATTTCAAATCATTTCAACATATAAATGTCGTATGCAGGTATGTGTTCTTGCTGAACAGAACACTACGGACTTATAGGGTTTGCATAGAGCGTGCGTACGGCCTAGAATTAGCAGGTTTGACATCCTTTGACAAACATACACTGGAAAAAAAAAATTGTGGTTGCAGCCTGAAGGAGGTACAGTTTTTTTCAGAAATATCGAGTCCTACTTTACGATCGTGTCCAGAAATCGTGCTGCTAAACCACACTTGGATTCAAGTGGCTTGATATATATATATATATATTGTGACAAAAAAATATTGTGGTGGACACAAACAATTGGTCCGACAAATCCGATCCCTCTCAGTAAAGAACGTTGGTTCTTGGACGCTTGACTATACATACCAACCTACGCGAATAGGTTGAGAACGGCATGCAACCAGGTGTTTGTTGTGATGCATGAAACAAACCAGGCAACGGTTGATCCCTTGAAACGTCCAACAAACACATCTTTTGGAAGGCACGAACCCTGTGGTATCCGGTGCTCCGGGCACTTCTGTGGCTCCAACAACTCGCCACCGATATCTGGTTCCGTGTGGAGGGTTCAGATGGGTTCAGATGTGGGTCATCCCAGACGAACAGTGACGAATCTGTAGGGATAGACCATTCATGAGATTGGAATATATGCCTAATTATGCCTACATGGGGACATATGCCAAACCACCCCTGGCCTGATCTGCAAAGAATGCCAGTCCCATTGGTCGTGTTTGGCCTAGGGATAGACTCCTCTTCCCCTTAACAGTCGACTAGAATGCGTGGGGCGACCACCGACGCGGCAATGTGCCGTTCCGGACGACTGCAGGCCCAGCATTGGCCTCCTTGAGGATGACTGGGGACATGGGGACATGGGCGCATGATGATGCAGAATTCACTGCTAAAACCCAAAATACTACCATCATGTTGCTACCTTTTTCTCTGGGGATGAACATCAATTTAATATTGCTCTGCTCTCAACGATCTTCGGAGGATCCGGGCATTCAATTGAGATGACTAGTCTTGTGAATCATGCCCTCTGATGATGGCCAAGACCCTGAACAATGTGAGGGACCTGGAGCTGAGCAGCGTTTGGTGGTTAGTTTGAGTGTGATCTTCTTTTTGTTTATATATAGGTCCGCCGATTAAACAAGGCAGCATTTGACAGCCTGCTTGATGTTCAGCATGCTGGCATTCTGACACGTGCCATAGGGGTCCACGATTCCACCACCCCCCAAGGGGTCTGGCGAGTCCAACGCGTTTTCGGCGACTGCAGGAACGCACCCCACTCTGCTGTTGATCACAGACATTCCAACGAAGATCACAGACCCGCACTCTGTTGCTTGCTTCGTGGATGTCCGGCGACGTCCCGCGTGCGTTTTCTCAGGATTCATCGCCGAGGCGGCACCTCTTTGGCAGGTGCGGCGTGTGACGCGTCACACAAGCGGCCGTGGAGCCTCCCATGTCACGATGCATGTGGTGCAGGTTCTCCGGTCAGGTTCATACTTACGCGAAAGTGAAGAAGAACCAGTGTGTTTGTTCCCTCAGAATGGGTGGAGAACGACAGCCAGGGTTGAATGAGTTGAGTGAGACAAAATCAGCCCGAGCCGAAAGAATACTTGGTCTTACCCAGACCATCCGATATGCCGCCCCATCGACCCCTCATGGCCAACCCCCTTTTCTCGGCACATATGGCAGTCAGTCGACCTGGGTGAGACACATGTGGATCACGGTTGATGTGGATCACTGAAATTCCACACATCTCCAGGTCTCCAGGTCCCAGACCCTCAAAAGACCAACCGTTCTTTTTGCTGAAGAAAGATCGTCTTGCCGATGGAGTTCTTTTGGCACTTGGATTTCGACCCCCCTTTTGGCACTTGCCGTCATTGTTTGGGCGGCGGCCAACGCAAACCAGATTGGCACCCTGGGCTTGGTTGGGGGGCTTCAAAACCCAAACATCACCTTCGGTTTCAACCATCCGGTTCTTCGGATCCTCCACACGCCCGGATGTTCCTCTTTCAGGTCGGCCCGAGGTGCAGTATCGCGAGGTGCAGATGTTTTTCTGTCTCCGCTTCTCGCTTTGGCCCAAAAAACAGAGATGGTGGAAGGTTCAAAAAGGGCGGAGGTGTCCGAACACGAGGGAAGGTGAGGGAGGGAAGTGTTTCCTGTCTTTGAGGGGTGGGTTTGGGGAGGCGTTTTGGTGTTTCGTTGGCACAGCCCTTTGGTTCGCAAAAACTCAGCAGGAACATGGCAGCAGTGCTAGGTCTTGCACGCATCCAATCAAGTTCTTGGGCAATGTGTTTTTGGAAGATACTGTTATTTAAGACATGTATGAAGGTCTATGAGCTTCCTCAACAGAATAGCAGACAAAAGAGCAAGCATATATGTGCGAAGGGGAGGGCTGAAGAGATCTTTTCTGGTTCCAGAATCCATCCAGTGCTTAACTTCTAATAAGCAGACTTTGCATAAAAGAGTGAACAGTACTTGGTCACTCGTCATCCACCGGGCAACATGTTTGGGAGATTCTAGAGCACCTTTAGCCAAGCATGACCCCAATTAGAATCCTTCTGTAACCTTCTTGCTTTGGTGTTCTTCATCAAATCTGGTTATGGATGTTGATGGATGTTACAGGGTCAGCACTCCAGAGCCCTTGTGAAGAGGAAACGGACAGAGCGCTTGTGGGGGTTCCTCAGGACTGGCACCGGCCCCCCCCTCAAGAGGCTTCATGGTGGGACGGCACGTTCTGTCACAGCCTGGTGAAACAGATCGATTGTTCCCAACCAGCAACCTTGGTGACTACCTTGGTGTTCATAGACTCACCCGTATACCTTGGGTTTGTCCCAGTAAACCTGTAACAGTCGGTAAATTATTGTAGAGAAAGGCCTGCAACCTAACCATACCCAGACGCTCCATGGGACTGGCATATTTACCGATCAGTTGGGGTGGTGCCAGAGGGGTCAATGGGGCGGCAAAGATTCCATACCAGGACCCTCCAACAGGTCTCCTCTGGAGGCTTTTGCAAGTCGGTGGTGACCTGTGAAAGTACCTGTGCTGGTACATGGAGTGTCTGGGATAATCATCCACTGTTTCTGGGAACTGGATAGACCCCAAGTGTACCTTGATGGGACTCGGAACTCGCCAGTCACCGAAGATGTCTCAACCGTTTGGGGGGTTGTGGCACCAATTACCTCCGTTTCGAAGGTGTTCAGGGTGGGTTTGGTCTAAATACCTTGTGAGGATATGGTTGGAGCCCCTAAAAAGGGTCTAAAACCTTTGTGTTGTATACAGAGCTTTAAGTTGATTCTCCATCTTTGCATCGCACAGGCACCTATCATTACTGCGGATCTGTTGCCGCAGCCGTCAGGGACTCAGGAGAAATTGGACAGGGCGTCTGACAGCAGATGGCCGCTGTTCACCGCCTTCAAATCCTCAAATGGCAGTGGGTCAAGACCGAACACCCTACAAACCATGGGTTCGGTTGACCTCCCTTATGGGAGAGATCTGTTCATTTTTGGGGTGGTTCACCAGGAAATCCCCTGTTGTGACCCACTTTGGGAAGGCATCTCGTCTCAACCAGCAGATTTGGGAAGACTGAGCCAAGAGTCTTGAGGGGAGTATACATATATATATATATATACTATACTGATAGCTAGCCTATGCTAGCCGTTTTGCTCCCAGACACGACCCATGGGACTGCCATATTTGCTGATCACTTGGGGGATCAGTTGGCAGGCTTTACTTGGATGGGCCTGGGTAGTCCAAAGATGTTGGGCAGAGGAATTGATCTTTGCTTCGTTCATTTCGCCCGTGTTCATCCTGGTGCAAAAATGGTTTGTCGGTGAACTGCATGCGACTTAGACTTTGAGGTAGACTGCGCGTGGACGAACTGCCACAGTACAGTACAGCGCACTATAATGGTAAGACATTTCTTTGTGGCTGTCCTTTGTCTCCATCGTTAAATGGCTTCAAAATCAGCTGAGCAACTACCGACAACCAGCTTCACAAAGGTCGTTCTGCCAGCTTCACTTCCTTCACTTCACCAAGGTCGTTTTGGGCGTCATCCCGTTTGTCCTATCAGTTTGTCCTTTGGAATCCCGTCTTTTGGGTGGAACGGTAATGAGATTGGTTCAATGGATTGGTGAGTGGATTCATGTCAAATATGGGAACCCATCCAGAATGCTGAAAAAGTCTCACGGGTTTAATACTCTACAACCCCTTCTTGATGACTGGTCATTCTGAGCAGTATTCTCCAAATTGCGGTTGTCTCGTGAAGTTAGCGTCCGTCAATCCCTTTGGATGCTGAAGATCGACCGCCTGAGAATGGTGTTCAAACATGCAACAGCGAAATCGACTAGCATCGACTAGCATCTTCATTGCCAGGTGACGTTCGTCTGAATTCGCCTCCTTTTCTTCCACGCTTTCTCCATCCCCTCCCTCCTTCATCCTTCCCGCCCCATCTCGTCTTGAATCTGGCGGCGGGGGGGCGAACTCGGGCGCCGGCGGAAACGACCCAAAAAGCCGCCGAGACGCCGACGTCCAGAGGATCAACCTGCAGAAGTTCCGGGACTTGGTCAACACCGATCGGAGCACCACCCTGAAGTGGGGCCAGGGCAAGGTGCGCAGTCTGGAGACCGTTATTGTCGAATCCGTATTTCGGGGTCGAGGGCGGTTTCGGGGGTGAACCGGGCGAGAGCGAGGAGAGCGGCATTTGGGGCATGTGTACACTCTTAAAAATCCCTATGGATCCTCATACCTTTTGAGAAGGTGATTGAAGACTATTTATGTAGGCTTGGAGAGCCCGCATACCTTCTGAGAAGGTATGTGGATCCATAGGGAATGCAATTGCCTAGGGACAATACATCAGAAATTGCATTTTCCAATTGCATTTTAAAAGTGTCTACTTGGATGCCACGGCATCTAAAATCAGCTGTACCAGTCCTGCCATCATTGTTTCACTGTTTCCAGGGCATGTCATCAACAGATGGTGTGTACTTTCTGGGTACTCATACTCGCTGGTTCTTTCAGACATGTTCTTTCACACCACTCCAGCGACGAAAGGAAGAGCCCAAGCGGAGTTTCCGAGGGTGGCACAGAACAACTCGACCATTTACTGGTAGGAATGGCAGTGCACCCTCTCAAAAAAGTGTCAAGTTTCTTTACACTGCCCCTTCTTCATGACACCGCATTTGAGTCAAGGAATGAGCAGTAATTAGTAGAACACGCCGATGGTTTGGCATGGCAAAAAGATCGGCTACCACAGAAAGGGGCTGCAAGATCATTTGTACCAATACCTTGGAGTCTGGCAACAAAAGGTTTGTCATAGATCATTTCCGCAAGTTCTTGCAACTGATGGCGCACAGAAATCCCGTGGCCCATCACACTGTTGAACGGGATCCTGGGGAGGCTAGGCACCTCAGCGTATCGAGCTTCGATGCAAGGCTCCCGTCACCGCTGCGGCCGTCGACTGTTCGGTGCACCAGTGAATGCGTTGCTAGTTGAATGAGTGTCAAACCAACGGTGTGGGCATTGCTCGGACTCCGCAAGGACCACGCCCCGGAGCCCTGTTTACTCAGACACCCCATGGGACTGGCATGTTTACTGACCTCGTGCAGATCTGAGGGAATGATAGGGGATGAGGGTGATGTAATTTGCAATCAAGACATTGTTATGCCTTTCCAACCCTATCAAAATGATGAAGGAGAAGCGTTCAGTCACACATCCCACCTCCATTTCCTTCTGTGTGTTCCCAACCTGCTCCACACTGCTGTCTCCAGGTCTTGTTCTGTGATGGCTTGGGCGGCACCGCCAGCAGCGCCGTGCTCTTGGCCGAGGGCTGTGTGGTGTGTTGGCAAGCCACGGAGGCACAAAGGCAGGGCGAGGACCTTCCGGATGATTGGGAGACGAAACGACCAACGGCCCAAAGAAAACCAATGAAAAATAGAGGGGTTCACATACAAAAAGAATTTAATGTATTGTTGATGGTTTGTGGGAACCTTGTATTGAAGGCTCATCTGAACAAGATAATCCAGATCAAGAGGGGCAACTGGGGCAACCCAGAGATTTGTCAGGCTTTGGCAAGAATCTCGCAACCATTTGCGGACAGTGACATAGATCTTTTAAAGCACGTTGCAAACCCAGTCTTATTTTTCACCATTGTCAGATCGCCATTTTGACTTCCAGATGATTGATTTGCATGATTGATCATGATCAAGATCATGACTCGGTCATCTAATTGCGTTTGATCATGTTTGATCTACGAGGGAACTCTTCCACCCACTGTGGACTCTTGATGATATTTCAACATATTTCAACCCCTCCGACATGTTTTGAAAAGCCTCTTCAGGCCCGAGCTGGGGGTTGAAATACAATCAAACAGGATCAAAAAAGTAAAGACAACACTTTCCAACATATCTTCCTTCATATATATATAATTATAGTATAGTATATATGTGTATGCTTGATTCTTGATTATATTATGTCAGTCTACATTTGCCATTTGTTCCATGTCCCCTAACCGCGCAGGCGGCTTTTGCTGGAGAAGGCGGCCAGCTGCCCCGAGACCCGTGGCCGGCGCCGGAGAGCCCCAGCATCGGCGGTGATAGGTCCAATGAAAGAGCGAAACCAAAAACCAATGGCAATGGCGTCCAACCTACTTGCGATGGCCTCCAACCTAAACAAAAACCATATTCTTTCGTGATCTCTTTCAGCCCTAGCCTTCGTGAATGCCCTAGACGACGACTAGTTCGACCATTAATTAAATGAATGGTTCTTCCCTGGTGGTGTAGTGTAAAAAACCTTAGTAACACAACAGGGTTCTTTGATGTTCTTTGGCAACGACCATAAAACAAACATACTTAAAACTATTAAAGCAATGGTTGATCGAATCTTAGGGAATGGAATTTGATTTGTGAAGCGGGGCTTCTTTGGTTGGACCGATCACAACTCTAGATTACATTGAGGTTCCTTGTACAAAGCTCGTATATACTGTAATTCTAGAAGGCTGGCCATCATTGTTTGCTACATAAAACAAACAGGGCCCTCCTGTCGGGGTGTCTATTTATAGCCCCAAACAGCTGTGAAAAACGGGGTGTCCATGGTCCCCACCCCAGAACTGGTATTCCCAGATCTTTGCTTGTTTGTTCATGTTCCCAGATCTTTGCGCGCAGACGTTCCATCCTTTTCCGACCGGATGTTTGAACGGGGACGTTGGATTTGATCGCTCGTGAGCCAGGAGTTATTCGAAGGGTTCACACCAAAACCGATCGGTTTCGAGGGATGCCTTTGGAGCGGGGCATGAGCGTTGACTGGAGAATGATTCTGTGAAAGTTTGGGTCATCTTTGGGTGGCAAGGTTGAGCTGTGTCTGAAAAGGGGAAAATTACACCTCCAAAAGCTGCTTTGACTGCCTGAAAGCAGTGTTGGCAGCTGCTGGGGCATTGTTTTATTGGGTTGGTGGATCATGTTTGTTATGTTGGGTGTTTGTTCGTGCTGTGCCAAAGTCCAAAGCAAGTTCTTCCACCCAAGCACATCCAAGCATCTCAAGCCCGAGGTTCTTCCAAAACCCCCAACAAGCTCTTGCAACAGGTGAAGCATGTGTTGTTCCTACCAGCAGGTGAGCAGATGTTCGCAGATGTTAGCAGGTCTTCGCGAAAACGGTCAAACCCCTTTTCCGCCTCACGGCAGCGCTCCGAGGCTTCCGCTCCTTGGGCGAAGCACGTCCGGAAACCCACCAGACCCACGTCCAGCGGTCGCGGAAGCGGAGATATGCCCAGATGGCGAAGGACCAGTGTGTTTGAACCTTCAAAGAAATGAGTCTGGCAAAAATGTAAAAAATAGTTATAGAACTAGTTATAGAAGTATATGTGTATGTGAATATATTGTTTGGACCTTCAAATATGATGTTTTTTGTTCAAAACCCATTCGAGCAACTAAAGACCTTGCTTTATGTGTTTAGTCAAGGTCTTGTCATATCAAGCCCCGCGTAAGAAAAAGCCATGAGTTTTGTTAGGTTGCGTAAGCACTTTGGGGATATGATGTTGCTGGAGCACTTGCGTAAGCTCCATTCTTTTCTTTGGGAGTCCAGGATCGAAAAGAGGAAGACAAGCAACCACATTGGAGCTGTTACATGTGTTTTTGTTTTTCTTGTTTGGGACTTAGTAGGATGGACTCTCAAGGCTGTTCTGAACACCATGTATGCCTTTCAGCCCTTGAGGAACCTTTAGTTAAATCAAAGGTTAGGCGTTGCTGCTTTTAGCTCAGGCAGGAATATGAGGAAGGAGACCCCTCCCTGTCCGGGCGGTTGGCCCGCCTCTTGCCACATCAAGCAATGTGTTGGCCAAATGTTCCAACCTGTTTGGAACGAACGTCACACAGTCTGGATCGCATGATGTGACACCTGGTGTTTGCACAGAAGGATTTTGCGCGTAAGCAGTTGCGCAAGGATGGCGTAAGCACACTCGTCCAAAGTGACTAGTAGCCCACAATGGGAGCAGGCTGGGGCCCAAGCAGGAGACGAAAACCTCCCGAAAGTTCTCCGCCCAAAAGCTGTTCAAATCTTCATCGATGCCAACAGCCAAAAGGAAATTTGGAGGAGAGGTGGTCAGGCAAGGCTCAGGCACTGAGTAAGCAAGCTGCCAAAGGCGGACTGCACCAGGGACCGCATGATCCTGCTTCTCACTTCTTGAACCTCTGAACCTCTGCTGCCGCAAGGAAAAGACCCTGCGTAAGCTGCGACTGTGGAAATCCTGCAATTTTGGTGCCCATAAGGGCTTGCGTAAGCTCTTCTTGCCTGACTAGCTCCGCGTAAGCCAAAAACTGGCTTGCGTAAGGATGGAGTAACCGCCAGTGGAAGCAAGTTGATACGACAGGGAGTTACCGCAGGTTTTCAGAACAGCTCACTTGGCATGAAACATGTTTACCATCTGTTGTGGTTTCCCACCTCCCTCATCGGTTCGCAAACTCTTTGAGAGGTGAAAGTTCCCAGACTGCGGTCCAAACGGTCCAGGTCCCAACGTCCGCATTTCGGGCATCATGCATCTGAATGTAAAAAGGGATGTCTTGGGATGGGCGGGAAGAGAGCTTTGAATGAGTTGGTGCCAAGTGTTAAGGCTCAGCAACTTGTTGTGGGCGAGCACGTGGAAGGAACTTGTTTGAACGAGTCTGAATATGGTGATGGGTGATGTTCTATTTGTGGTAACTTGTTTAACCGTAGTTCCACACAGCTTTGCTGCTGGATCCATGACAATTCTCGACTGCCACTGAGCTGGCGGTCTTTGGCCAATTCACCCGGATTGGATTCAATGGATTTCATTTAGTGAACTCTGAATGGATTTGGCACAAAGAATACTTACAGTATAAATACCGTATACAGTACATATAATGCCTGCAACCTAGTAGCTTCTTATGCTATATTAAATATATATATATATATCAAGAAGCTATACTAGGTTGCAGGCATAGTAATAGGAATTGGACCGCCCAATGGACCCTCCGACTTGCCCATCCGGATCCGACACGCACCACGAGGCGAATCCTTCGGCTCACCACGCTCACCAGCTGTGCCCTGGAAGGATGTGGACCACGGGTGAGGACGAAATTCAAGTTACATGCACGGCATGCACGGAAAGTGTGTGTTGTTCGTGTGTTTGAGAGTGTTTGTGTGTGTTTCACATCAATTGTTGGTGAAGGATTTCCTGACGAGACACTTTTTTGGGAGGCCCAAATGTACGTGAGTAATTCCATGAGGAGAAGTATGAGCTGGGTGTTGAAGGCGAGGACCTGTAATTTGCTGGGTGTGCAAGTCGTGTTGGGGGGAAGACTTAGCTGGCTTTCAGAGTTCCAGGAAATACATTATTATGAAGCTTGGCTATGGCTATGGGTGGTAGAAGGATTGGATTATATACAATGAATTTAAATATTTTGTGTTTTGTGTTTTGAGTTTTGAGGGGTGGCAGATTGTTTTTCAAAACTGTGTTTCACCTTGCTGAATGTTGCTAGGGAAACTGACAGAGTTTGATTTTTGCAAGATCGGATTGCGTGAAGAACTGTGTTGATCGACCTTCATGTGCCCTGGAAGAAATCAGCCCTGGAAGAAGCCTCTAGAGCTTCACCGATCTCCGGTGGATGGCGGCTGTGGGTCACCAGCAGACCGAACGGTTGGGGCCTTTGTGGTCCTTGGCTACATGGTGGACTGGTCGGGCACCAGGTTTTGACCGATTTGTTTATATTGGATACTTGTTCCTAATAGCTTCTTGGTGCTACTAGTAAGGCACCTGTTACTACTAGCTACTAGCGTGGCACTTGTTCCTACCTATTGGACACCTACTGCCAACCGTGCTGTGGCATGGACTGTCCGCACCGTCGCGCGAAGCCGCGGCACTATGGGGTCGATCCTTACGTCGTCCGAGTCCGTCCGAGCCACCAGTTTCACCCCTGACGACATGCCACGACGCTGGGGTGGATGTTTCCACCTTGAAGTCCGAAAAAGTGCATGTAGGTGACGCGTGCGTAGACGCTTATGGAGCTCGGAATACGGGCAAACACTGACTATATAGTAGCTCAGGACTTGCAACAAGTACAGCCACTTGCTCAAAAGGGATGGTGAGCCTCAGTTTGAGACAGCTGGATGTTACATCTATGATTGCTCACCATTGTGCTAGGCAACACAAGTATCACGTCACACACTTTCACTCGACCCAGGCTACATTGGGTGAACTCGCCCTGTTGTTTCAGCATCCGTCCCTCCACCTCCCCCCAAAAGAAGCAAGAAGGATCAAGAAGGATAGAGTTCCCTCAACTCAGGAAAGACAGAATTGAAACAGTCAATAGTTGCTTTCAATGTTTTTCAACTCATTTCCTGATTCCCAACGACGCATGACCCGGCTCAGGGTATACCAAGCACACCTAAAGCATGACAAAGTTATACCATGTTATACCTGTTGCCTTCTTCGAACACGCGGGGAAACGCCGCGGAGTCTGCCCAGGTGAGCAGCGAAACGTTGGACCTGGGCGAGGCCGCGCCAGGCGCGGCCTACTCTCGGGGCACCCCAAGAAGAAGCGAGCGAGAATCGACCCGTTGACCGACGGTGGGGTGAGTGGTTGTCAAATCGACCAGACAAGGAGATCACATGTTTAGAAACAAGTTCGAAGTGACGTATGGTTTCAGGGTGACAGGTGCCCAGAAACCACCTGTGATAGGGTCCCAAAACAGCCGGTTGGAGGGTTCTGGCAGGTGAAATAGGGACTTGCATTTGTCCTGTAGATGAGTTCCGGCAATGACCAACTTGATTTATCTCGGACTCACCCGGTTTGTTGGCAGTTGGATGGATTTTGAGAGGCAGTCCACTTATGGTGAAGGGGTCTGACCCTCACTGAGCAGATCTGTGGTGGTCCAAGAGCCGACCTTTTCGGCTGTTCTAGGACAGGACTTTGCCCCAATCAAGCAGGATAAGAACGGCATGGTCAAACGGTCAAACTGAAAAAAGCATGGGATCAACCATCAGCGCCAGTGATCTCGGCTGGAAAAATGCTCCTCTGACTCAAACCCATGCATGGGAGCGCATGTAGCGTGACATGATCTGTCTTTTCTTGGCGATAGTAGAGAACTTGCTCGTAAGCTCACCATGTTCGCTTTTGACTTACAGCCACTATTGGGAGTTGGTTCTCTTTCAGAGGGATCGAACACTGGAAGCGACCGTGACTTCATGACCTTAAAACGCCTCGTTCCAAGCTGCTTCAGACCCTCCGCCTAGCATGTGGTGTTCATGAAGAGCCGGCTCATGCGCGTGCGCTCGCTCATAATCCTTTATTTTTGTAAAAGGTCTGTAATCTTTGGCTCGTCACATCATCAGTGTGCGTGCTCATGCATGCGGAGAGCTGTCGTCTTGTGTGTGCAGTCCCCCCTTAGTTATGAGGCGCAGAGTCACAGAGAAAGAGATTTAAAGAGAGAGAGAGAGAGTGTGTGTCTGAGTCAGAACGAGATTGGAAGAGAGTGGCAGGACACTGGGAGATTGTCATTGAGTGCGACACTGGAAGAGAGTCTATAAGCGATTGTCCTGTATTATTTAGGGCAGATGCACTACCTGCGACGCGCAATCAAGCTTCCTGTCGCCAGGTTTCTCTATACCTTGTGCTTTGGAGGGCGAGCAGCCAGCGCGCCAGACAAACAATAGTTTCTCATTGCTGTTTTGCGCGCCAGTGCGAAGATTCAGTTTCCTTACTGCAGGATCAGCTCGCGAAAAGACTTGGCCCAAAGTACTCTGAGTGCTAGAAAAAGTGATCGTACGCTGGTGATGGCAAAGGCGACCACGCCCTCCATGTCACAGGACGAACTTTCGATGCTTCTGCGATGGCCCTGATGGTGCAGCAAGTGAAGCCAGGGCACCCCACTATTTACGAAGAAGCCGGCTTTGCAATGGAAAATGGGAAGGAATGCCTTGGCTACACTCAGCCCTTGTACCTTGACCAGAAAAAGCCGGCGAAGGCCCTAGCAATGTCCATTGCTTTGTGACCTACGCCCGCGCGATGCTGACCGCTGGCGTGGTAAAGGCAGATGTGAGCTGGGGCCAATAATACTACTTGTTCAACAAGGACGTCGAGCACGCCAGTATGCTGCGGAAGCTGCTAGACCTGTACCCCTTTCAGAAACCCGATGTGGCAACATTTAAGAAGGAAGAGTGCATGGCGGCAATCAATCTGGTTTGCCTGAAGGGTGCTCTTGTTCGTATGGAATATTTCTGGCAACAAAAGCTTGCTAGGCCAAAGTCGTGCTAGTGACAATGGCCCTTCATGTCACTGCCCTTAGATGTGGCGCGCGTTTGAAACAGCGGACCAAAAGGACATATATGCAGCATGGGACACTTGCAGGCTTGCGCTTGGGACTTCGAGGCCTACGTATGTCTCGAACAATGTGTTCATGACGTTATTGTTATTGTTTTGCGCTTGATGCTTTTCTTGCCTAGGGCGGAGCACATCTGTGGATGGCACTGGGAGCGCCGGATTGCTAGTGACAGTTGCTTTGCACTGTTCAGCTCTAGAGGTTCAAGCGTCACTGACACCGGATGACATGGCCTCCAACAGGTCGACCTGTTTCAGTCACACCCGGGCCAAAAAAAGGAGCAGAAGTGGACCTGGGCGAAGCAGGAGCAGAAGTAGGAGTAGGGGGTCTTACCTTACCTTCTGATGTTGGTGAGGATTTGTCTTTGTGGCTTAGCACGGCAAATCAACGGTACAAAGACCTGAAGATTGACTACGACGCCCTGATGGAGAAGTACCAGGCCTCGCGCTCGCTGCAGTTGATGACAGTGGACCTATACCACAAAGAACGCGTAAGTGCGCTCAACGAGCAAGAGGTGAAGTTCTCCAAGACAATTGCAGGGCGCGAAGAATTATGTTTGCAAACTAAAAGCCGACCTCGACAAAGCAGCTTCTGAAAAAGGCAGATGCTGACGCCAGCCACACCCACATCGTGCAGGAAAACCGGGACCTGCGCACCCAAATCCTTCAATCGCCTGTTACAAGCCCAGCTGAAGCCCCCACACGCCGGATGCGGCACCTTCAGACAGCCTAGTGCAAGGCACAGGTATCTTGCAAGATCTTCGAGGACGATGAGACCGACCAGGCACTTGAACACAGGGTCTCGAAGTTTTCGAATGACAGAAGGAAAAGAAGAAACGTATGCTTTGAATGTGGTTGCTGAAAAAGCTGCTCGAATCTCTTTTCACTTTCTTGTAATCTGTCACCTGACTGCACTTTGATGACGGCAAACTCCACTTTCTTGTATGCTGTTTAGCCGAGCCCTGGCCGCTCCAAGGTGCCATTGAATCATTGGTCCAGCGCATGCGCGCCTCCGCTTTTTGGTGACGAGTCGACGCTGAGAGAGTGTCTCCGGGACAGCGCGTGTTGGTCTTGGTATGTCTTCGTCCACACACAGAAAAGAGAACGAGAGGAAAAGAACGAGAGAGATCATCTAATCATCTTCCCGCGCGTACATGGACAAAACGCATTGGGGGGCGCAGAGAACTTTCCTTTGAGGACCTTTTACAAAGATTCAAGGTTTTCACTCCACGGCGGCGGTGGTGTTGCAAGCATCGCCTGCGCCGCACAGAGACCGCGCATCGCATCGCCAGGGCAAAAGACGCACATGAACTCCAATGGGAAGCTTGCCTTGAGCATCGATCCCGAGGATTCCCGTGATTTTGCCAGAAGTTGGCGGACCGGCGCACGCGCGCGGCTGGCTGGTCCGTTTTTGTTCACATTATTCTTTACTGGTGGGCGTTGGGTTTGTTGAGTTTGTGGGAGGCTTAAACACCCATTAGTCTCTCCATTTGGGGCTGGCTTTACTCCAGCCAGATGGATGCAAAAAATTACGAATGTGTTTTGCGCAGTGTTCACGAGGCAGATGTTTAATTAATTTGGGTCTAAGTGCGTTTTGCCAATAATGTTCATCAATACACAACTTAATTAATTAAGTCGCCCCACCAAACATATATAAATAGAGTTAAATGATGTTTTAAGTGGTTGCAGAGACTCAAACCTAGAGTTGGAGAACCCGGGTTCCATCTATAAAGGGAAGCATGTTTGCAGACATAAACATGAGTGAGGGAGAAGGTTTCTGAAATTTTTGTCAAAAAACATCAACAAAGGAAGGCAATTGAACATGATGCCCAAAGGTGGTGTCCACTCGAAGCTGCGAGAGACCTCCTCGATTATCTCCGTGGTGACTCGACTCGAGTCTGCAGACCGACCCGACTCGGTGGCAAAGACCTTCAGCAGAGCAAGCAAATCAATGATGGACCCCCCAAACCTACACAATCGTGTTTTCAATGACCTTCGGATAATAAGGTACTTGCATCTCTAGGGATGGTTCAGCAAGTGTCCATTATATAGCCACCCCTTGTGGGTCCTGGTATAGGCTCCCAAAAAAATTGGATCCCTCTTTGCTAAAACAACCCAGTTTTCATCGTGGAACCCGCTGTGGAACCCTAGGGTGGCCTTTTGCTAATTGCCTGGTTGATGAGTAGAGGGGATACGCCCGGTGGTGAACAAGCAAATAGACCTGGCATCGACCCCTCTATTACCAAGTACCTGGACCCGACTTCAAGTACCTTCAAAAACGGGACATGAACCGAAGCAAACAACAGGTCATGTTGTACCCATGTTCCGAAGTACGAACCTCGGATGCTCCAGGATGGTCCAGGTGCGGACCGACCAAAACTGCCGCGCTGCAGGATCGCACTATGGACCAGATCGCCGTGTCACTGGGCATGGCCGTCGCCGTGCGAGCCTCCTCGGCACTTGGTTTTTTCCGCGCGGGCTGGGATGCTGGGTCCTTCGGATCTATTTGACATTCAGACACTCTATCCCTACAAGTCAATGAGCTGATTTTACTGGAGCTGTTCATACAAAAGCACTACTTAAGGAGGTAAAAGACCAGGTTTTACTGGGTCAGACTGGACTTGTGGAGCATGTATGTATGCCATATTTGCCTACTTTGGGTGGTTTGGGGGGTTCGGATGTGGATGGACCATGTCCTTTGTGGAGAGTCCCGAAATGCACCTGGACCCAAGACATGACCCCTATATTTTGATAGGAAAAATAGGAACCTGATCATGGGTGTGGCAGAACATGCAGTAGGAATCACAATGTCATGATGACATACGATGTCATGGGAAGTGTAGGATGTGTTCTTTCCACCGTGTTGCAGGGTGGCGTCATGTGGACCTCTCCATTTCTCACTCCACAAATCCAACGCAAGTCCCAAGCTTCCCAATAGGAAGTGGTTGATGAGTTGATGATGTTTTTTCTTGGTTTGACCAAGAGAGTATTTATATTGTTCAGGTCATTGCTAGGTTCGGACTTGCAAGACCCGTTGATTGATGGATTTGAGTTGACTCAATTGATGAGTTTTCTGCACATGCTGACTCAGATGGCTGACTTAGGATTGGAATCCCTAGAGGAAAAGATCGAGAATTTGCTGGAACAAGATTGGAAGGCACAACTCCCAGAGTTGAAGGAGCGTTTACCATCAATCAACCACCTCGAAGGTGGAGGAAATCCTTAAGACATCTTAAAACAACTCCTGTATTTTGTGCTGCCGCATTTCTTTTGGAGAGTTGTGCGTTTCATGGCGGTCCTGCACTTCAGAATTCGACCTTATTGGATCGATTTTTGGTTGAAGAGAAGCCTATTTAGTGGCCCAAACGAAACGAGTTTGCTGGTCAGCACCAGGAATCCACCGGTTTTCCCTTCTTATGGATCTAGAGCCTATATGGCAAGCAACCAGAAGTGCTTCACGTATGGCCATCAGGTTGGGCTGATATCTAATTCAACCACCTATTGGCCCAAGATGTCGAGTGAGACGGGAGCTGCAGAATCGTGAACCACCTATTAGCGTTCTTCCACCGGTTCCACCGGTGTTGCATGGTGAACTCATGGAACTCATGGTGAACCCATGCCGCTTAAATGACACCTTCATTCTCAAAATTATCTTTCTGAAGTTCTGTATATTCTTCGTTAAATGTTGAGTGAAGCACCCTTTCAAGACAATGCAATGCACCTTCACTCTCAGCGAAATTGAACTTAAGACACATTTGCTGGTGAGCACCAGGTCTTCGCACCAGGTCTTCATATGTCATCATCCACCAGATCCAACATGGTCCAACAATTTCAATCGATGTCGATGTTAAGCGTGTGTAGCTCACATAGGGAGACCTTCCCCAAAAAACATCAATGGAGAAGGAACATAGACCAGTCTACCCAGCCAGGGCATGCCAGGGCCAGGCGTTGTTGTTTCTGCATGAAACTACACACCCACATGTTGGTTCCCATTGGGTGGACCCAAAAACCGCTGCTGCCGACCTCATAGGGTTTGCCTGGACGTGCGTCCAGGCACTGGAGCGACTGGTGAAGCGTTTGGAAGACCCCTGGTACTTGATGGTGAGCCTGAAAGACGTCTCACATCGGATTTTCAAGCTCCTTGGCTGAGACTGATCGACTTCCGGCCGTGTCTCCCAAGACGTTCTCTGCAAGAGAAACCCAGGTTCTTTACAGCAACTGGGATCCACAGATTCTCCATCTCAGCTTTACTGTTTCCCTAGTGCTCAGAAGGTGATTGGAGTCACTGTTATGTAGGTTTGGAGGGTCTAGTCATACCTTCTGAGGTTCGGTACAACTGGATCCATAGGGTTTGGAATTCCTCCATCGACATCCTGCGCCATTGGTACATCCCAAATCCATCCAGGCAATATGTATATATAAATTGAAGGACTTGGCAATGGGGAGTCAATGGTCATGAACAGGTGTTTTGTCCTAACAAAGGCGTGCTCAGTGCTCGTGTTTTGAGATGGTGACGTATCCCTTCGTTTTGCAAGACTAACATCAGATGATACATATGTACTATTATGTCGTACTATAATGATGATCAAGTTTCGATCGACATACCATAGATCATAGCTGCTCGCTGCCGACCTATGACCTATATGGATTACCAGTCATCGGTTCTGGTGTTGGTTTGCTTTCCCAGAACTTCCCTTTTGACTCATGAACTACCCCACCTGAAAAGTCGTCCACCGCAATCACTCCCCTGTCCTACCCCGGAGTCAGATCGTCGGGGTCGGACTCGGTACGGGTCCTCACGTACCTCTCACCGGCAGGTACGAGCACATGATCCACAAGTTGCGTTACGAGCTCAACGCCGAAGCGGGTCTGCTGGACTCGCCCGTGGCCTGGACGGAGACGACGACGGCGACAGACGGAGCGCTGCGGATGGTGCGGACGGAGGGTTCATCAGGGAGTGAAAAGAATCCTGCACTGGTGGTGGTTCCCATGGCATTCTTGGAAGATTTTTCAAGTGCCTGCAGAGTCCTGAATGCAAAAAAAAAAGTACCACATACTTTGGCATGCTGCGGGTATCCCAATGCCTACCCTAAAGCCGACTATCGGAAGGTACACAACATGGACCAAGGTACCAAGCCACCCATTTCGATAGGCAGAGCTGGTTTTTGGACCGTTGGAGCATCTTGGTTTGAAGGGTTTGCTGTTGGCCAGGAAGAAGATGGCCATAGCGGCCATATATCCATTTTTCAATGTGATTAATTGAACTATAGGTGCCACGTTCATCTGATCATCTCACGCCAAACATTAGCTGAACAGCATCAGCACTACCCCATGCTACTCCATTTATTCGCAATGAACAGACATGTCTTGCTCCGGACCGACCGAAGAACAGTGGCCGGTTCCTCGTGCGGCGTCCGACCCAAATCTCCCAAGCGGCGTGGCGACGCTGGACGATCATGCGACCTAATCATGGGCACCCATAGATCCTGTGAAGGTTAGAGGAGCTCATGAGGGGAACAGCCGAGCCCTGACTTCAGCTATCTTCAGCTCTGTGCCAACTTTTTCGCACTTGAGGATCTTTTATGGGAGAATGCCACGGCGGAGAAGCTGCATGATAAGGCCGTGCTGCTCGCTGCGCGGAGGACCTGCAAGGAAGACTTGATACTACAAATCCCAAACACTCCATGTATGTCATATCTGCCTACATTGACCCCCAAAACCACCCCAATGTGGGCAAATATGCCATATATGGAGTGTCTGGGAATTGTTGTTTGTCAAATATTAAATAACGAGTACGTATCCTCAGTGAATCCTCAGACCCTCCACTCTGAGCTCCTAAGGTTTGACCCAAATCCGGAACCCACCGAACCGGCCACCGTGACATGTGATAACGCATGATAAAGCCTACCCAACCAGTGGCTAACCATGGCTAACCTCTATGACCTTTTTTCAGGATTTTCAGGGATTTTCTTGCCAAACATGAATTTGGTTTGAACAGGTTCAGGCACTTTCCACAGAACTGAGGGATTTGCGCAATGGCCAATATACCGATGCGAGGGGTCGTTGTGCATGTTTCTGTTTGTATGTGACTATGTCGGCCGCATGAAAGTCAGGGTAACTCTGTCTAAAGGTCTTCGGTGTGACTCCGTCCGTGTGTTCTTTCCTTTTTTTTGACAAGGTCTACATCAACTGCATACATGATCTACATGAGTTTGTTCACACCACGGTGGATGCCATGTCCAATTGTGGTATATTCTCTTCCATACTGATGAAGGTTTTCAGTTCGCTTCTGTTCGTCATGGTGCTCCTGTTTGTCGTCGTAGCGGAAGAAGTCTGGAGTTGCATCCACCACGTGCATTCACCACGTCGCGAGTCCCGCCGGGCCGCCCAGGTGGTGGCCCACTTCGATGTGCGGCGGCGAACGGAGGTGCTGAACCAACGGCTGAGCCTTGGACCTGAGCCCGGCGGGCTGAGCCGTGATTTGGGGAGAAAAAAAACTGAACAAGTCATATCCCCAGACACGACACGAGACATGGGACTGCCATATATACCTATACAATCCTATACATGCATTGACCCCTCTGGCACCACCACCCCAACTGATCGGCATATATGGCCCCATGTGTTGTGTCTGGGAGATGCAAGGCCACGACTCGACTCGAACATGTGTCGATCCGCTAGCTTCTGGGTGAAAAACGACGGCGCCTCGGCACAGTACGTCGAGGTTTTCTTAGACGTCTCATCAGCTCCTGGTGCAAACAGAACTATTTATGTTTTTCCCACCGGTGAATCTGCCGGTCCAGACCAACGCCTCCTTCTCTCTCTCTCAGCCCGGATGAAGCTCCGACGCCCGTTGAGGAGCTACTCTTTGGACTACCTTCACACCTTGGGAGAACATGTGAGGCCCGTTGAGTCTAACACTCTCGCGGCTCTCGCGTGCGTTATCCCGTGCGGCTCTCTCCCTAGGTTTCGGGGAAAAAACCCGGTGTGTGCGGTGTTTGTGGCGGGACCTGTTGAATCCCAACACACGTGACACCAAAGCCTGGTGTTAAGGCAGAGTTTTTGCCATTGAGGTTGAAGTTTCGGAACTTGACGTCAATTCTTGGGCCTCGGTAGGAAACCTGTTGTAAATGTTGCCTTGGATGCAAGATGATGCAATTGACAAAATGATGTAGACAGATAGGACGACCCGTGACCTGGAGGTGTTTCTTGGATAATCACCGTTCGACATTTCGCTCGCTGGACTCCGCCCAACTCCATGCTTTCCCTCGGACTCGGGATCACGCAAATTCACACAGAAGGACGTCATTGCCAGGGCAGCCAGGGCTCAGGATCACAAAGCCAACCTTTGGTCTCTCCTCCGCAGGTTCCGGATCGTCTTCTCTGCCATGGGCAAATGCAAACTCAAAAGCAATCAGTTGCTCTTCTGAGCCTGGGATAGATGGTAGTCACAACACGTCGCAACTATTGATGTTTCATTCATGGGAATGAAAGGCCCATTGGCGCAACTGTTTAAATTTAAAGCATTCATTGTTCCCTCCTGAGATGTCGAGGGTTCACCAAAACAGCACTAGAGTGGCTGAGACATTACTCACTGAACCCCGTGAACCCCGTTCCCTATAGGCATGTAGAGTAATTAGTTCACGTGCTCTTCACAGTTCGAGATAGGACAGTTCCTTGACCCGGTGCACCTGGGCAAGGTTTTCTCTTTCCTTCGTTGTCAACTTCTTGTGGTCCCCATGTCGTTGAAGGGAGGCTTCTATATACCTATAGCCTATAGATCTATAAACCAACAAAAAGGACGCTAAAAACGCGTCTCCTGGCATGGCTACTAGTAACAAGAAGCTACGAACCGGGCTCCTGGCATCGCTTCCACATATAATCGAAGCATGACTTCATCGAACCACCGGAGTGGTTCGTCAGGCACCTCCATTCGGTTCGCCTGGAGAGGCGGGAGACGGACCTTTTGGCGGTGTAAGGCGCCGCGAACGGCGCCTCCACTCGAGCTGGGGGTGTTCAACAAACATTCAGTCGAAGGCCAATCAAGTCTTTTGAGGCAGCCAGGTTTTGCGGGTGTGGTTGTTGCTGTTGTTGTTGTTGTTGTTGTTGGTACTTTATGCGACTTTGGCATGGTGAAACAACTACATGCAATGCCATCACACCCGCAAAACGTGCAATGGTTTCTTTGGACCTATCCCCCTTGCACCGGTACATCCCCAAGCGCCTCTCCAAACCCTTTCTCAGGAGCCGATGAGAATATGATAGACGTGTCGTTCGGAACGCTCGGAAGTGAGGTGGGTACTACTCCTAAGCCAGCCAAGCTCTTCAAATCCCTGAAAAAAGTGTTTGAGAATATGGTGCTCGGCGTGTATGAGAATCCTTGTGGGACAATCCATGAAAATCACAGGATGGCTCGTCTTGAGTAGGAATCGGTAGGTTTGGCTTGCAAGTGGGTCTTTGTGCACATCGCCCAATCCGCATAGGCCATACCAATGGCGTTGTTGATTCCTGTCCCAGGTGAATGATACAGGGACACCCCTACGTGCGCAAGAAATTCCAATGTGCAACCCCCAGCAAATTCTACAGTTTCCTCGATCAAGTGGTATAATACAGGTTGACAAGTCCACATTGGGGGCCCGAACACCTCTGTGTTTGTCGGACATGGAACTGGCGATCGAAGGGGGTCACCAGAATGTATTGTTTCTCTTCGTTGGAACAGGTCTTTGGGGATCAGACGCCTTATGAGCTGAGGTCTGTCTTTCAGTCCTGCGCATGCCTGCGGTGCAGGGCTGTTTCTCGACACTTACTGTAATGTCTTGAAAAGCAGCTGAAGACCAGGGTGAAAAAAGCCATGACCGTGTCAGCTTTTTCTGCCTGCGGATGCCTGCGGTGCAGGATGATCATCATCCTCATCACCCTGGAGTTGGGGGCTGCTTGGCTGCGGATGAAACAGTTTTTCAAGGTGACGTGGTTGGTCATGACATGTTGGAAGATCGTTTTCCCCTGTACACACGCAGCGCTCCGTCGGCAGGGAGAGTAAACATGAGTATACGACTAGTGATGCTCTGGTTTGGGACGGACGGAGGGGTTTCTACTACCAAGCTTTTATTCAATATTACTAAATTAGGCTATTAGACCATCTGCTTCGCTAGATTATATACACTCATGCCCAGACTGAGTCTCTCTCCCGGTCTGAACATTCCCTGATCTCCCGAGACCAGCGGAGACCCGTTCGCCCGACACGGCCCGACACGACACGAAACGGCCCACACCGCAGCGGTCACGTTCGCCGCCAGGTGGGCATCATGGGCCTCTCTCCAAATCTGGCGAGTTGGCCGAGCCTGGCGAGGGGACCAACAGGGGGACCGGTACGGACCGGTTGGGGTGGGACGGTCAGGCGGTCCAGAGAGAGGTGGAATGTCACCTGCAAACTACGGATGTTCATAGTTGGATGCTTGTGTATGTGTATTTCTCTTACGTGAGAACCACAATGGTTTTGATGTGAGACGGTGTCCTTTGGGGTGAGTTGTGGTTTGCACGCGAGACTAGCCATTTGGCTCGCTGCACCTTGCTGAGTGTAGGGGCCAGTCGAATGAAGTCGCAAAGTCATGTCCTGCCTACGTTTCCAAACGTGTTCGTTTGTTTGTCTCAACATGGAAGTGGATGGCACAGCCCTGAAAGGATGACGTTGTTCTTTTTGTGAAGGGCCATCCTCGGCACCACCGTCCTCGACACATGTGTTCCTCGGGAGTAGGACGAAATCCGAGATCGGCTACGGAGTACTTCAGACGAAAGGCCTAATCCTTCAAGGGCGTTCAACCAAGAACACATCAAGAACAGCTGAAGTCCCTCCATTGTGCTAGCTCATCCTCCCTAATCCTCGCGCAGTGGGTCGAAACCAGCTGGTTTTGGGAGGATCTTGAACACATCAGCAGTACATTGTGAGTTCATCCCCGTTCCGAGCGATGATTTTCTCAAGACCTTCGTTCCATGGGACGAAGCGCCATCCGACAAGGTCCTGGCCCAGCATGGACTGCGGCTCGGGCTCAGTTGGGGGTTGGAGTCCTTTTTGAGGGGTAACAGTAACAGCAAGGAACCTCTGAGTGAGTCTGTGCCCAGGATGTCAGAGGTTGACGGATCAATATTGTCAGGTGTTGATGATTCTGTTTGATCGATTACATTTCACAAGCATATTATATGGGAAGTGCATAGTTTTGCTTTGTATTTTGGTTGTCGCGGGGTTTGGATGGTTTTGGTGTCCTCCACTCAAGCCAGTCATAGTTTGCGGTCAAGCCCTGGGCTGTGACAGCAAAGAAGGGGGCCTCCCCTTCATCAGTCTCACCAGCGGCTTCCCAGAGAAATGGTGGACTTTACCCAGAGCTGTGGTTGGCTCTGGGTATACATTTGACAACTTAAAGAGTATGAGAAAATACTTTTGGTTCTGTCTGTCTTTGCATCACAGACAAGAGTATGTATACATTTGATGTAAAGACAGATACAATTTTGCATCAAAAAAAACTTCTCAGCCTTTTAGGAGCCAAGCTGCAGTGGCCTGTCCAAATAGACTGAAAGCCACTGGGAAGCTGTCCCTGCCATCAATTTTTTTTCGCATTCACGTGTTTCGCCAAGGAGCTCCAAGAACCTGCATCCTTATGAGGGTTTACCTACGGCATTGAAGCTTATATAGGGTTCAGGAGTTTCTCGCATATGTGAAGATGTTAGTTAAACCCTGATCATCCAATTAGTGGAGACAGTTAAACGGACGTGACCTGATGTTAGGAATTTACGAGTCGGTTGAAGAAATCATCCATTGATTGAACCATGGATTAAACCATATATACCAGCTGCTTCCAACGGGTCACCAATGGATAGGTCTCCATTGGGCACCCATTGGAAGTGCTAGGTATCCATATATTTGTACAGAGGTCTGAGATGTTGTTTCCTTCTCAGCTTGTGTGAGATCATCTAGGATATGGTGGTCAAACGCGGGACACTTGCACTTAGTTGACTTCTTGCAATCGATGCATATGAGCTTGTAGCCATAATTCATGGCCTTGCATGGTTTGATACTATCTTCCATGATGTCTTCTTTGGTGTATATATATATATACATTCCTCTTGTAGATTACCATGGACCCCCCCAACCCGCCAGGTGTAGATGAGATTAGTCTTAACGAGGTCCATGTTCACAGTCTATGTTCGTTTTGGAGGGAGAGAAGAACTCTCCAGGCCCAGTTCTGGGACACCTGAGCTCTAAAACTCTCGTGATCAAGAATTTCCGCGGCTGAGGTTCTAGCATTCCTCTCCTCAGCGAAGCGACAGAACACTGGAAGGCCTACGGAACAGGGGACATTCCGCCCTCTTTGGTGCCCGACCACCAAAGAGGAAGGCGTGCAGAGAAAAGCCTTAAAGCGGGTGTCTCACCATAACAAGCCGATTCCTTCAGCACCCTGAGTGGAAGTGAAGAACATACCAAAGTACACGTTGAATATCGTTGAAACATCGTTTGGGTCGTAGCTGAGTGGCTTCCCTGACATGTGTTTCTTCGATCTATTCCTGCCCCTATAGAAGTCCAATCTTTTGCTCTGCTGAAGTTCCAGGAATTTAGACTCGTGTCCTCTCTAAAGACCAGGACTCCCAATAACTATAGGTCTTCACCGCATCACCAGTTCTCCACTCCGGCTTCCCAAAGGAGTGCCACGCCAACCGTGGTCGCGGTGTTTCTCCGGGTTTCACCGGTTTGGTGACCGCTGAGACCAGGAGGGCTTTCCCTCCGGTGCTGCCGGAGTGGAAACCGCTTCCAGCTTGCTTCGGTTTCGCAGAGGAAAAAGACAGCAACAGAGCATTGGGAAAATGGGAACCTCATGCGTGCACGCACAAGCGAAAGTAACACATCGGTGCTGCATGTCTACCTTCCAAGCCTTCGCGCAAGAGCAGCACCCGAGAACGGTCTAAGACGGACAAAAACCACCTTGACCAAGGGCTTGTACTGAAGTAGATAGGTCTTTCCGCCGAGGCGCCTGCAGTTCACAGAGAAACACTATACCCCGGACCTCGAGTTTTTCGTCATCCTCTCCGAGCTTTGCGCCATGGACGACGGTCCACCCTAGACCATAGAGATAGAGAGGCAAGAGCCGGATGTCGAAGCCGGTTAAGAAAGCAATCCAATCCAACAAGTTTTTGCGAGTTGTATACATTGAGGCTATTAGCCAAGGCCTGAGGCACCAGCCAACGAAGTGGGTCTGGATGGTGCATCAATGTCGCAGGTACACGCTTTTAGGACCAATTGACACAGTGAACCAACACTGAAAAGATGTGGATGTGGAGCTTCACGCCTAAGTGAGTTGGGCGGTGAGGGTTTGAATGCGTTATAGTGGGAGTGAGAGAGTTAAAAAGGACAATGTAAGTCGATGGCTTTCGCGTTCGTCCTGCCACTCGCGGCGCTCGCGCTGGCACTCGCTGCGACGTGGAGACTCACACGGGGCGCCGTTCGTGGTCCGGAGGTCGGCCACGAACTTCGTGGCATTCGGGTGTTCTCCTACTTATGTGTGCTCTCAGATGTGTTTGCTCTCGGCCCACTCCCTCTTGCGGCTTGCTTTCTCGTGTGTTCTGTCATATTTGGATGTGCATCAATCTGATTCAATCTGTATTCTCATTCGTGTGCTTTCTTATGTGCACGTGCTTTCATACATGTCCTCCCCAGGCTGTGGATCCAAATGGTGTTTGCTTGCTTGCAATGGGGCAACTCCTGCCGGCAAAAGCTGGAGTGAAAATTACAATAAAAAATGTCTCGAGTTTCAGACCATTGTCACTTGTGACTTGCACCAGCTACCCTAGCAACACTTTCTCTCGAGAAACCAAAGCGATTTTATCATTGACGTCATTTTCTCAGCGCAAATTTCCCACATTCGGCATGTGGTTGTGAGCGGGTGTCTTCACTCTGCAGAACTTTGCAGGGCTTCAAATTTCAATCTCATTGACTGTGGACGCAACAACAGTGCATGAGGGTATACAAGCAAAGTTCCAGTGTTTGGAGATTCAATACTAATGGTACATGATATCACTGATTTTGCAGTAGAGTTCAGACATCGCCTTGTTCTTTTTTTAAGGTACCAGCAGAACGCCACGCCCACCCAGGCAGAGCCAGACCGAAATAACATGAAATAACGAAGCGCCAGTCAACCGTTTTCCATGAGAACCAAGCCGACCACTGCGCCGTTGACTGGGCGGCGCTGACTCTGTTGACCATTCCACTGGTTTGAGCTATGGATGGCCAACTGCGCTTGCCCGGCTTGCCCTTGGCCGGTGCGCTGAAGACAGACACCATCGGAGCGATGTGTGGGATCGGAACCAATCCACGGGAAGAAGCCTCAAGAATCCAGAACCAGGAGCTATGTTCGCTTCGCATCCGATCGCTCCGTTCGTTTTCCGATGCCCTTTGTTACTACTAGCTTCTTGCTACTAGTAATGCCAGGAGCGGCTGAAAGCGGATGATTTTGTGGATTTTTTGTGGAAAGGTTGGGTGTTGAAATGTGTTGAATGCTCGCAGATGGGTCTTGAAACCCTTGGCCAACCAACTACGTCTACCGCTTGCTTCAAGCTGGCAGAGGGGGGCCCACCCCAAAGGTGAGTGAAACCAATTGAATAAGCGCGAAAACATGCGAAACAAGTTTACTATCCATGTGGACCCTCCTACAAGTGCCTGATGATAAGTGCTGATGCCGACCCGCGATTAATACACAACTCTGAATGAAAGCAAATGGACTGCGCTCAGAAAGCCCTACTCAAAAAAGATAGGTTGGAGATTCTATTTTAAGTGTTCGTTTGAGAAGCGGGCCCCCAGCAGACTATGGTGATACAGCAATGCAGAGCTAGATTGGCGCTAGGTTGGCGCGAGATTTCTTCATAACAAGAGAAGCAAGCAGGAAAAAGAAGAAACAAGCAGAGAGCGGGAAAAGGAAGAAGAAGCAAGACAAGAAGAAGGAAAAACAAACAATAAGAAGAAGCATAATAAGAAGAAAAAGAAGAAGAAGAAGAATCAGAATGCACAACAAGAAGAAGACAAGCAATCAGGAGAAAAAAATCTGACAGAATAAAGAAATCGACGGATATTTAGCGCTAGGCTGGCGCTAGATCCACGCTAGCACCGCGCTAGACGACGGTCCATTTCTTGACCACCTGCCCATCCAACATCCAAATCTCTTGAGTCAACGCTAACGTCCTTCCTAAGTCGTTCTGAAGACTTCTGAGAACAAAAATTGGAAACAACTGCAGAAGTCCAGCAGCAGCAGCAGCAGCTCAACAGGCCCCTGAAAAGGTCCGCGCTGGACACCTCTCACAGTTTTTGCAGTTGATATGCCATCATGTTTAACATCTCTGTGGTTGCGGTTTGAGTGTGGCGGGACTTTAAAGGAGACTTAGAAGCGGGCCCCCATGGAATTGCGATGGGTGCACCATTTTGGGAAAAGACATTTTGGAAACCAACCAAATGTTTTCTCCAGACCGAATCATAAACAGTGTGCTATTAGTTTTTTGGGTCTGTGACATACTACCAACTTCTCAACTCCCTTTTCCCACAATGCCAACAAACTTTGTTGATCCCCTTTCAGGTCCCTTTCAACTATAAAATTCCCACAATCACAATGCCAAACCTTTGCCAACACTCGGCAAATAAGTAGTAACTTTTGGTTTGATTTTGGCGTGCTGCCGTTTTTGTTTGTGCATGGTACGAATGGGACGGTCCAGACAATCGGGGCCAGTACAGTTGGTATCCGCTTAACCTAATGCGATGGCCTCCAACCTAGAAGCGACGGCCTCCAACCTAGAAGCGATGGCCTCCAACCTAGAAGCGATGGCCTCCAATCTCGAAGCGATGGCCTCCAACAGCGATGGCCTCCAACCGACAAACGAACCCAGGCAAAAAAATCGACCGGTGCTGCCGGTGCTTTTGAAATCCAAGCTGTGCATTGGTGTTCTTGTGGCAGTTCGCTCCGCTTTGGAAACACCGAAAAGTCTTGAACTTCTAGGAACAGTCGCTGTTGGTCGTTTAGACATCAGACATGAGGTGGTGGTGCCAGTGCCAGTTCCTCTTCGAAGGACTAATGTGGGAAGATGGCCAGGAAGGAGTGTTTTCCAAATGACTTCAAAGGACTTATTGATGCAGACGTAGTATGCAGTGTTACTGATCATTTGCAGGTTCCAGAAACGTTCCCAGGTTCCGGTCAGGTTCAGTTGAACATTTGGAGACTTCAGGGAACCATACCGACTTGCAGATCTTTGCGCCGGGGAGGTTTCAGATCTTTCAGAGTCGAAGCGAATGAGTTTCCGTCCACCGTTGGTCCAGTTGCAAGGGCTTCTGTTCAACTGCGGTTGCGGGATGCGAAGAATTTCGACATGGGTATGCATTAGAATAGGGAGGCCTCCCCAAAGAAAGGAAATAGACCAGTCTACCCAGCCAGGGCCAGGGGATCTCCCAATGACACACAGATCGATGGATTAGTGGGCGTTTGAACCGCTACTCGAGTCAGATTCGAAGAGTTTAAACCGACGCTGGACGAAAGGGAGCCAAGAGTTCGGGGGCGGGGTCTGGCAGTTTTCAGGTTTGTTTCCAAGGTTGTTTGCAGAATCAGCGCCTTTTCGGGACCTTCAGGTTTGTTTCCTTTGAATATATCACTGGGGGAACAGGAGAGCTTTCCCAAAGTACTCCAGCACTGCAAAAGCGAATCGCGAGGCCGGATCCAGGTGCCCGGCGGCATCTCCAAAACGAGTCATGAAGATCTGAAAAACAAGTCAAAACGAGTCGTGGAGTTTGTTTGCCGGAGAAAATGGATCCATTAAGTTTGGATCTTCAAACTTAATGGATCTGTTTAACTTTTGGAGTTTTTTAAGTTTGAAGATCAGAAAAACCTTCCAAAAAGCTCCACAGATGTGTCTTTGGGAGGAGCCGCCGCCTGACGAGCCAGAGTCTTTGGCAGCATGGGGTGGTTCACGCGGGTTCGATGCAGGCTGCTGCGCCTGCTGTGCTTGCTGTGCCTGCTGTGCCCTGCTCATGTCAGTTGTACCTTGTCCATGACATGTGCGGAGTAAGCATTTGAATCCACTGGGTGACCCAGTGGCTTGGATCCAAATGTTGCATCAATACCCTGCAGAATTCAGGCCCAGAATTTGTGTGTGTGACCTCCGTTGGTGATCTCCGAGGATGCCAGCATCGATGATTTGTTAAAGCTCATCGAAGATGGCCCTGGCGCCAGGCCAGGAGCCGAAGGAGCAGAGCTTCGTCTCGCATTTGACTGTACACACTCATGTAGCAAGGATGCTACTAGTAGCTCCTGGCCTTACTACTAGCAACAAGAAGCCACTAGAAGCAAAGGACATCGCTACTATAGGAGCAAAGACGCTCCTCGCCACACTCATGATACATTTCTTTTCCGACTCTCAACTGTGATCGTTTCCGCAGATCGCCTGGCATGCCGTCGCTTTTCGTTGGAAACGCGTGAAAAGCGATCCGGACGATCCGAACGGTGTGGACCGCGGATCTTTCTCGGCCGCGCAGGGACCAAGATGTGGATGAACTTCTGCAATCCTTGCAGCCCAAGGAAGGCACATGTCGTCCGGTGGATGCGGAGCGGATGCGGATTCGGTGGTTTCGATCATCGATCGATTCTGCGAAATGGCCGAGTGGAATTGTGCAGCGTAGTTTGCTCCTTGAAATACTGGAGAAGTTTTGCACCAAAAGCATCCAAAAGCTTATATATATATATACACACTCTTCTTGTTCTAGTGCAAAAGAAGTGGCCAGAAAGAGGCACATGTGCTCACCAGCCATTGGCTATGGGCTTTGAGACTTAACTTGTCCTTCCGTTCGACCATAAATGAAAGGATGACTTGGATTTTATGGTCTAAAATCCTCCAAACATGTTAAGAATGTTTGGCACGCGCTGAGCTGAGAAATCAATGGTTGGAATCCTAGGGCTCATATGGGTTCATTCTCCTTTGCTTGTTGATTCAACAAGCATTGTTGCTCTCGGCCACAGGCTCGTAGCGATCACAGCCATGAGATATGTCGACAGCCAGGAGGATGACGGTCATCCGGCACATGGCACCGTTGGGTGCATCTCTCAGCAGGGCCAGGGCATGCCAGCCCCCCCAGAACCACTACTCAACAGCATTTGTTGATGAAGTTCAATGACTGCAAAGATGAGATTTGATCTGAAAGAACGAGGTGTTTGTTTGGGTGTTGCATGGCATTGCACCATGAAATGCTGAGCAAGACATGTCTCCTTAGCTTGTTTGTTTGACCATGTTTGTCAAAGAAAAAACACCAAGGCCCCGAATATCCGGCTTCACCAAAAAGCTCTTTCCCGAAAGAGCGAGAAGACAACAGCAGTTCCAGATCTTCATTGCCTGCCCCTGGCTGCTTCAAGCCATAAACAGAAACACCTTCTGCCCCTGGCCATGCCGCTTCCCGCGGTGCTGGGCAGCTGTGTAGTCACTGGGTGGCAAGAATCGATGTGCTGTGCGGCGTTAGTATGGATGGATGGAGAAGCTATGGATTTCGCTTGTCAATTCTGTTCTTCTGTTTCTGATGTTGACTTAGGGGGAACCCTGATCAAACAGTTTGCACCGCGTCCTGTGTGGACTTAGTCATCTTGTTTGCGTCCTCTTGAAGTTCTAAAGGTGAGACCTTCTCATTCAGCCAACCGTTTCCTCGAGACCTGCTTTAAGAATCCACCGGGATCCCAGTGGGGGTGCGCCACAGATGGAGGCCTGATCCCGTGGTCCAAGCCTGTCCAAGCCATCAGGAAGGGCAGTTCTTTGGCCAGTTTGAGCACCACCTGAACAGGCATGAATTGCCTTCACCACCTCACGGTTTAGCGTGGAGATCGTATATCATCGTACATCGTCACATCCCGCTTCATCTCCTGTTTCAAAACGAGATCTTCAATCCAGGTCAACCAAAAGATACGAGATGAAGCTTCCAGGAATGCTTTGTCAGTGAAGTGGGACCAAAAGGAAACAACATCAGGAACTCTCCTAATTTGCGCTAATTTGTGTGAAAAAAACGACGGTTTTTTCGAGGAGGTCACGAAAAGAGCCCCACCCGTCCTCATGCCCATCCTCACGGCGAGTCACACCGAGGATGCCATCAACAATCGGCTCGAAGAGCTTGTGTGACTTGACTTCTGATTTGTCCCGACTGAAGAAAACAGGACACCCCCAGTGTAACAGCAATGCTTTCTAGTATTCGAGTGTTCCAGATTTCAGGGTTGATGTCTTTCGATTCGCAGGGGTGGCACGCTTGGATTCCACACGGAAACTGCCCAAATCCATGAATCAAGAAGGATATCCCACTCAACAACACCCTGCCCCCACCAACGTCTGAAGACACATTCCTGTTGTGAAGCGGACGTTGCCGATGGATCAATGAGAGCGTGCGCCCAAGCATCTCTCAGCCGTCATGTTCCCCGAGTTCAACAAGCGCCTTGGCTCCCCCAGTGCACCTACAGACCCACCACCTTGCCACCATTCGGATTCCCGCAAGCGGACCGAGAGCTTCAGCCCATGAGAAGAGGACAATCCAAAGTAACAAGCGACCCACAAAGCAACCCCCTTTCACATCCTTCATCCATCTTCATCCTTCACATCCGAAACGTCCTCGATTGCAGACTTCATCTTTTTGGAACACGGATCCGTCCAGAACAGATGAATCCGGATCTAGGTGCCATTGCAAGCAGCTGCATGGTCAGAATCAATCCTTGGAGATGGAGAATGCATCCTTGTGCCATGTCCGCAAGCTGAGGGCATGTTTGGGCTGTCTTTACGGCTTGTGCTAGGCCGGCCTACTAGGGCTAGTGGGCTGACAGCCACCGTTTCGGTGGGAGGAACGAACAGTTATGGGTCACCCAGTGGGACACCCCAATGACAAGTTCCAACATGAGGCTTGCCTGGCAACGTAGAACAAGTGGGGAAGGCTTGTGGCACACGGCGGCTGTGTGCAGAGACCGGGAGGGAGATCTATTTTGCATTTCGCAAATGTGTTGTCTTCATTGACTGGTGGCAGATGGTTGCAATGTGGATGTTCGATTTTGAATGGAATTAGTTTTTTGCATGTTCAGTGCAGTAGATGTTACCGGAAACCATTGTGGACCAACCAAAACATCAGCAGCATGATTGTTCATAATGTTTCAGGCTAAGGGTGTTAAGGGGCGCCGAACCTTTTTTATTGCCGGTTTCGTGAAATACTGGCGAGATAGAACACACCTTCATCCCTGGGGTGGTAGTTATCCAGCCCAGATAGCTAATGAGGTCAAAGAGATTTGGCTTTGGGGTAATTCTTCATGTGCCTGCTAAGCTCGCGAACAGTTCCAGGGAATAAAGACTAAATCTACTGAATCTACCAAACTGAGCGAACGCGGATGGTTGAGATATGTTGAGATGCTCAGTATAAGAACAGGTCAGGTCCCTTGAAGAAAAGAACTACAAATTGTGATTCTTGGATTTGAGCTTTGCTCTTAGGATCCCAATTTGTGTAATGCAAAGTGACCCGGGTCGTGACTCATCGTCTTCTCGCCTGAACAACAATGCAGCTTCTTATTGGTCGAAGCACTCCTCGAAAGCCAGGTGGAAGCTGGTACCCCCCCGGAAGGTCAGTGTGCCACGATGTGGGAGAGGTCCTCTTCGATCTTCAATGAAAGTGACCTCTTTGTTCATCTGTAAGTGACCTCTTTATGGACGATTCGTGACCAAAAGGTCTGGGATCTCAAGTTCGGTCACGAACTGAAGGTCCTGAGTTATTTCGGAATAGATGGCACAAACCCCAAGATGTCTTTTCAAAGTGGGCGTCCATCTAAACTCTTGCGATTGTGCCATCTACTCTCAATCCGCTATAAGTGGTTTTTTGATGTGAAGGTTATCCCTGCCCCACTCAGAAACTGCCCAAACAATCCCCTGCCCTGCTTCAAGGCCGCTGTCCACCATAGTTCCCGTTCTTGGGATTCTTGGGCAATGTTTTTCTCAAACTGACATTGTCCTTCGACCATTTCAGTAAAGAAGATCGCAGAATTCGTCCAACAAACGTTCTCCTGCACTAGTCCTGCACCTTTTTGGAGGAAACAGGAAACGTTGCTGCGCCCAGAACCGCGTCTCGCGTCGACGTCGTGCTCAGAGACGTAACTCGTGCCGCGAACACGCAGCTGTTCATCGCAGCCGACTCGCGTGAGGCGATTGAAGTTGGCATCTGTGGGAGAAGAGAGGATCCCGGTACCTCGGAGGAACGGGTTCGCGGAGGGAGGGATGGGCCTGGGAGCGAAGAAAGGCGAAGAAGGGTGAAGAGAGAGATAGCTTGGGGATGTGAAAGAGGGGAGAAGGAGGGTTTGTAAAGAGTTCTGACATCAATACCTGACACAGTATGTTTTCAGAAGTTCTCAATGATGTTAAAGACATTTAAAGACTAGTTATAGGATGCTAGGGCAGAAAGTGTCAACTGCAGCCATGTAAAAGCACCAGGTCCAGGGCACCTCAAACTTGGGCCTCCGAGAAAAGAACCGTTAGCAATGCTAGCACAAATAAACCATTATATATAAAACAAAACTCTTCCCAAAGTTGTCTCTTCATCCACCCAGTCAGCGGCTCCTCCACCTCGCTTCCTGAAACAGGAGAGGGTTCCTTTCCCCACTGACCGCTTCCCACCGTCCCTGGCGCCCCGCGCGGAACTCCGAGTTGACTCGGACCGAAAGCGACAGTTCGTCCGACGGCCAACACGGCGCACGAGCCATTGGCGAGAGGCGTTGAGGGGCGTTGGCGAGATGCTTTTTTGAGGCCAAGGATATTTGTCCCACACAGAAACCTGAACTGTAGCAGCAACTGGTATTAAAGTTATAAACTTGTGTCAGTTGTTCTTTCTATCACTGTAACTGCCAAGACAATCCAAATTGCTACAATGAGGTGAGTGGAGGGGACAGATTTCACATGATTTGACCCATACCCAGCTTTCTACACTCAGCTGAACGAAAGTATACCTCATGTCAAATGCCTACTTATTGGTTGAAGTGGGCCAAAGCATATACCCTTCCCACATACATTCCAAATATTTATAGATAAGATAAGGTCGCAAGCGATGACGTTCAGTACGTTCACCTCCGTTGTTGTTGTTGTTGTTGTTGTAACAGTGTTTTTTCAACTTCACAGAGGCTCACACTCACAAAGTCACCTTCCTTGGTGGACGAAATCAACACATGGTTCCCGTGGCACACTGCGAACAGTGAAAGATCTGGAGTCCAAAGGGCTGCTGGGAGGGCATGGAGTGAGTTCACTCAGGGTCTACAATGAGTCTACAACCATGCAACTCAACAAAAGCACCTCCTGCCAGTGTTGAATACGACATACATGATATACCCAACAAAAAAAAACCTATTCCCCATTCCTTCTGGCCCATATCCTCAGATTCGGTGGTCTTCGACCCCCCCTGGCACCCACCTTTGGCCCACCTTCGAACCGAAGGGGGCGGCTGCCGCCCCAGAACGCAATGAGCAGCTCAGGTCTCCACAGCGGTCTTGACCCCGGATCGTGAGACGGTCGAGGCCGCCCGTCGGTGCCGACGC